ATCGGCGGGGCTCTGCCTGCAAGGATCCTAGGAGATCCTGGGGTTTGGCAAGGCAAAGCATTGCGGCTACAAGCATTTCTTCTTCCTCTTCACATCACAAATCTCCGAAATAAAGCGCTGAGGAGATCCCTGGTATATATGTGCCATGATCCTGGTAACGGTGTGGCTTCTTTTTGCCACAGATATTTGTATATATATGTAACAAGATTTGGAAATTTAGTTCTTTTTTTGTGCTCAAACACTGTAGGTTTTTTTTTGCAGCTTTGACTGAGCTCTCCATTTTGTAAAAACTTTTAACTTCAGGGGTTATCCATTCGTTTATATATTATGTTTCGAAGCTCACAAGTATGCCATCAACAGGTTGTTTCTTCATTCATCAATTAGTTTCTGCAACATTTTTGTTGTTTGTATACAGGATTGAAATCTATTGTTTGTGTGAGATTAGCAACTTCTTTTGAAAGCTATATATGAGGAGAGTCTCAGCTCATTTGAAAGCTGTAGGAATTGGATGGATCCCCTGAAATTGAGACTGGTTAACGTTTATTACCTAATACAATAACTAAATTAAGATCCAAAAAATGAGCTAACTAACGTTTTTTCTTTTTCTTTTTTTTTTCTTTTTTGGAAAACAGTGTCTTTTCATGGGCAGCAAGAACTTCGCAAAACAACACGTTTCTTCTGTGGTTTGCTATTTTGACTGTCAAACTGGCAGGCTTGTTGAGGTGATGCGAGGTGTGGGTGGTCAAATAAAATCCAAGAAAATGAAATTATTTTATACTAATTTCTTCTATCATTTTCCTTTGTATATAGTATTCTTGTGTATAATTTGTCAGAAGATATGAGACTTTCTTTTCTTGTGGAGATAGTCAGGTACGTGTCCGTAATTCTCACAAGGTTTTGAATTTGATTCCATTTAGAGTTTTCAGCATAACATTCAAGTCATGTGATGTATTCGTAAAATGCATCAGAAAGGATTGTATCAGCACTCAGTAGCCACACCACAACCCCTTTTATTCTTACGCATTTCATACTCTTCTCATTTCTCAAGATGCCTATAAAAATTCACTAAAGATGGATTTAAAAAATAAAAAAACAAATAAAAACTCTAGAAGGCAACAGAAATAAATCCATTGCTGCAAAAATATCCTGACGGATCTCTAACAACACCAAACTTTACTTGAGAAAAACAAAAAATGCATGAACTATATATTTCATGAGAAATAAAGAGAAAAAAGAAACATCACATCTCAAAGACTTGACTTCTATATACTAGAAAACCGTTCATTCTTATAGCAGTATCCGTAACATTCAAACAAACATCCACCGGTGACATAATTCTCATACTCCCCATGAAATATAAACAAAAATTCATAAACCAAAGATTTCTTGAAAAACAAAGACCAAAAAAAAAAATCAATCTTTTCAAGCCGTTATTATCTCCCAACCTTACATCACAAACTCAACCAGTGTTCCTCATCCCAGCAGCAATTCCATTGATTGTAATAAGCAAAGCATCCCTAAGCTTACCATTCTCACTATCCTTCCTCAGCCTCCTCAAAACCTCAACCTGCAACAAATTCATAAGATTCAAATAAGGCAACCTACTCTCAATCAACCTCTTCAAACTCTTATTATTCTCTGAAAGCTTATCGTGACCCCCGACAGCCAGAATAAACTTCTCCGTTGCCACAAGCTCAGTCCTCAGCTTCTCGCCGAGCCCTCTCCTGTTCTCAGATACCAAAACCTCATCGTAATGCTTGGTAATCGATGTATCAGCTTTCGCAAGAACCATCTCTATAAGATCGATCGTGGACTGAAAAAATGGCCATTCTTCGTACATTGCGCGAAGATCTTCTTGATACCCTTTATCCAATGCATCTTTTAGTCCCGCGCCGACACCAAGCCAAGCTGGCAAAACGAAGCGGGTCTGGGTCCAAGCGAATATCCAAGGAATGGCTCTGAGATGCCCGATACCAACAGAGGCTTTTCTTCGAGAAGGACGGGACCCGATGTTAAGAAACCCAAGCTCCGCTTGAGGGGTGGCTTCTTGGAAGTAGGAGATGAACTCGGGGTTTTCGTAGACTACGTTTCTGTAGTGGGTGCAGCTTGTTTTTGAGATCTCTTCCATGATTTGGCGCCATTTTTCTTTTCGAGGAGGTATTGGGGGTTGGAGGGTCGCGAGGAGGACGGCAGTGGTGTAGATTTCGAGTTGGCGGACGGCGGTTTGGGGGATGCTGAACTTTGCTTGGACCATTTCGCCTTGTTCCGTTGAACGGAGTGTTCCCTAGAAACGGAAAAAATGATTTAGATGGCAAGTGTAAATGCTTCTGAAAATTTCAAAGGGTTAACTGCAGATAGGCCTCTATAGTTCCACCGTTGCAGATAAAAGGGGGATACTTTTGCCAGTAAAAAACAGTGCTTTACGCTTTTAGGGGGTTTTCTGGAGAAAACATAACACTTAAGGGGCGTTTTGCTCTAAAATTTAGCCAAAAAAAACTTTTCCTGATGGCAAAAGGGTCAAAACAGTTCCACTCGAGGTGTTTAATCTGCAACAATAGAACTACATGCCACAATAACCATATTTCAAACAAAAATGTCACAATTTAATGTTTTTATTCATTTGGTATAGTTTTTTAAGTACCTACTTATCCAGGAAGAGGAAACAAACATATGATTCCTAGACATTAGACCTTGATCAGATGAATGTTCTAGCCACTCTTCAGTAGTTGGTTTATAAAAGTTACCTTAAAATCTTTTAACTTCAGATAACCTGCTTAAGGATGTACAGTAGTTCATTTTTAACATCCTGAAGGAAAAAAAGAAACAATTTGCGGAGTACTTACTTTCGTTTTACCACCTAGAAAACTAATTTCAAATGCTATCCATCAACGACAACAACATCAAAACCTTCATCCCAAATTGTTTGGGTTAGGCTACGTGAATCTTACTCTTCCATTCATTTTTATTATGATTCATGTCCTCTGTTGAGTTACCTATTATCACATCCTTCTTAACTGCTCTCAAACAACTTATTAAGAAAAATCTAAAGCAATACAATCCATCCTACTATGATCAAGAACATTCCCTATACATAAACCTTTAAATAGCTTACCATCACAGAGCCAGGAGGTTGCGACTGTATAGCGAGATATGTGGGGCCCCCACCACGACCGATACTACCACCACGCCCATGGAAAAGTGTAACTTTAATCCCATACTCGTTGCAGGCAGCTACAACATCCTCTTGAGCTTTGTACAATTCCCAAGCTGCAGTAAAACGCCCGGCATCTTTACCAGAATCAGAGTAACCAACCATTACCTGAACAAGTTTGTATTGGAGTTAAAGATGATTGAGATTTATTAAGGGTTAATTGCAGATAGACCCCTTGTCCTATCACCAAATGGAACTTACTAACCCTGTATTTTTATTGTTGCATATAGACCCCCTGAGTGAATTTTTTTTACCCTTTTCAAGGGGTCTATCGGCAACAATAAAACTCTTTTAAGGGGCCTATCTGCAATTAAAGATGGTATTGTATGCATAGAACGAAATTAGTACCTCTTGATGTCCGTTGTGGTTCTTTATGATGTGCTCCCGGTACCAGTCGATTGATAATAGTTTCCTTATCACTGAACCGGCACTTCTCAAATCTTTGACAGTTTCGAATAGAGGAACCACCCTTAAACTGTTTGGAGGTGTCATAAACTAATTACCATCAGTAACTGATGATGAAATAGATCATGTTTTGTAATGGGGTAGAGAGAACTTGAATTAATGCAATTTCCCAACAATTTAAATATCTACAGGATTATAATTCAAGATTTTGAGAAGGTTCTTACCTATGGAGGAACTGCTCTAGAGGCTAACAGAAAATTATATTTCAAAATGAAATGAAGTAGCTGAGATTCAGTTCGACTGTGTTTTGAAGTGTGAATTTTGTACAACTTTTAAAATACTCTTAAGTCGCGGAGAGCCGATGATATTTGCAAATCTTGAACAAGTTTGTAGTCAAGCATTTACCACAAAGAATAGCAATAGCCAGAAACGCCCAGGGAATAGTCGGGGAATGCCAGACTGATTTAAACTTTGTTCCCTGGACTAAAGAGTTACTATTAAGAATAACATCTAGTCAATGTATCCTTACTGAGATTTCCAGCTTCTAATGAGTTCTACTTTTTCCTTTATAATTGCAATAATACTCAAACAGAAATTCAATAGAGTGTAATCTTACGTTGCACCAGGACGAGGCCTTCCTATTTCCCCACTCACAGCAAGTCTAGCATCTTTTTGCAACAGCTCCACAGCAAGAACGTCACTTGCCTGCATGTATCCATTAAAAGATTCATCACAATCGAGGTAGTGGATCCTTGTCAACTCTAGACAAAGAAAGGAAAAACAAGGTACTTATAAGGTCTCTTTTTTTTTCTTTTTTCTTTCCTTTTTGCAGATAGGTACTATCATCTAATTAAGGAAAGACCTCCTGTAGTTCTATCTTCGCAGATAGACCCGAGTGAATTTTTTTTGACTCATACCCTGGGAAGGTTGTCAAAATACAATTTCTCTTTTTCTGAGGATAAAAGAGTCAAATAAATTCTCTCAGGCTATCTGCGAGAATAGAACGACAAGGGTCTATTTGCAATTGGCTGAAAGTAAAGGGGCTCTATCGGTAATTAACCCTTGAAATTGACATGCAAAATTATAAATATGCATCCATAGGAAAAGAGTATACATTTCATATACATACATTAGATGCCATTGATATCACATACGCTCCCAAAGATTCGCTCCCAAGCTCAGCAGCTACATGGAATGTATCCAGAACCTCCTTAACATCTGAAGCCACCTGAACAGTCCCAAGAATTCAGAGTTAATGCAGTAGTTATAGAACAAAGGAAAGGAAAATGTAGGCTCCTCTTGTAACACATAATTAGCAATAATCGAATATTCTAAACTTTGGAGAAATATTTTAAAAAGTCCAGGGTCCTTAGCAGAGCTCCTGTTTCCTCTTTTAACACTCTTTTCTTAATAACTAGTAAGGAAGGACGTGCTTTGCACGTGGCCAGTGGAATTTTTGATGATTTAAAGGATTAATTTCCAAAGACGAATGATTTCAGGAACTATTATAAGATAAATTCATTATGGTTATTTGGTCGCTTATTTCACTTTGGTATCCTTGATGTATTTTTCTAATACTTTAATCCAAAATTTCAGACACATCTGGTTTCGATAACCCATCCATATTATATTAGAATTTTCCATTAAACTTACATTACGTCAATCAACATGTGATTAATAAGTGACGCGATGCATTTTAAAAAGGACAAAAGTAGTGGATGTCCAATATTAAAAGTTGCATGTAGAGTTAAATTTCTTACCTCTATACTTCTGATAAGCTTGATCTTGTCTAGATCTCCTATTTATCTGATGTCTTTTTATGAGTGTGTGAGATATATAGTTATAGTTAGTACCAGACATTGGATGGTTTGTTGTATATGTGTGCAAGTATATTGATGTGTATGCGTGCAAGTGTATTGTTGCTAATGACAAAGGAAACCAAAGTTCGGAAAAAGACTAACTCTTAACACATGAAAAGAATGTCACACATGCAATTAAGTTGAAAATGCATGGACAAAATTGTCTCAATAAATTATTCCGCAGAACTACAAGTGTCCGGTCCCTATTTTCATTGCACAAAATTAAAGAAGTATATGTATGACAATAGAGTATAAGAAGGAAAATACAGGTGATGCTAGAGGGCAATTAACATGTTTGGGTGAAATAGATAAAAAAAACATAACATGCAGGTAGGATGAATATTAAAATTTAGAAAACTATTAATTAAGTAGTAGATAATTATACTTAAAAATAATAAAAGATGTTACTCGGTGATAAGTGCTAGTAAACAAATTGAATGGTGATAAATATGAACTTATAGCTAATTAATCTAAATAATAATATATTTATCACTTGTGAAGACCCAAATGTATTTTCTAAGCTTATTATCTCCTAGAGATAAGCTAGAAATTAGAATACTATTGTAATTAATTAATTAATTTCTACAAAAAAAATAATAATTAATTAATTAGTTTCTACTATTAGAAAAAGGCCGGGTTAATTTAAGGTGGTGTACTGATTTAAGAATGTAGTGGGTAATAGTTCTCATATTATTTAATAACTCTACTTTTTTTATATATAGGTAAAAGTCCTGATATTATCTAATAACTCTACTTTTGTATATATATTGAGGAGCATGTGCGTTGCACGTAGCTTCTTCAGAGTTGTTGTGTATCGAAATTCCTATTCGACCTTGAATTCTCAAAAGTTCTTTGAAATAGATCATAATAATTACTAATTCTAATCTTTATTTAAAAAACTAATTTTGGAATGACCAAAGTATCAAAGATGTAATATCAATTGCCCTTATTTGAGGGAGTAATTTTAAAATAGCTTAAGAAAAGGGGGACCTCATAGCAATTTAAATGATTTGAATGACTAATACCAATATATAAAAAATTTAAGATATTAATATAGAAAAAACAAACCCTTTCTATTATTTGGTGGCTTATTTTCATTTTGGTGCACCAGAGTTATCTACATTTTCACTTTAAAGTCTTAAAGAGTATTTCTTTTGATAATAAATAGTATTTTGTTGGATAAAAGGAGAAACTAATTATTTAGTAGTAAATCTCCATCAAAATGTCAGGCTAAATTCTTCAAGTTAAAAAATTAAATTATTCTACAACCTAAAGTCAATTTAAACTATTTATAAACTTTCAATACATAATTCTGAAGATTTGTAAATAGTTTATCTATACAAATCTAAATATTCACATAAAATTTAGGGCTATTTAGTATTGGTCCCTCAAATCTTCAATGGTTCTATATAATTCATTCAAACCTTTGAAATTACTCATAAGTCCCTTAAATTCTAAGGGCTCATACAGTATGGTATATCAAAAAAATGTGTAAACTTTGGAGCATCAAGTGTCGAGGAAAAATCTCTAAGATATCGAAGTCAAAGTTAGAAAAGTTTTAACTTCAAGGTATGAAACTGTAAATAACCGAGCTCCTAGTTACATGTATAACTACAAATAATTGGCTATGCACCCTATAGAATGTAATTATGTACCGCGTATTATACATCCTAGCATGCAATTATACACTTAATACTATGTAAGTATCCACTTTGTGCTATGTAAATCAGCATTGTATTTTGGGTGTATGAAAATGTATAGAACTATGTGGGTTTCAAAGTAAATGGGGTCAAGCTTTGGGTTAAGTATCTTATTGCTCCTCAGGCAAAATCACCTATTTGAGGGTCCCACCAGGTATTATAAAAAATGTATTAGCCAGTTGTGTGGTGGGACCCGCCTGCGTACCGCAAACTTTTTTGTTCCGCAAACCCATGTTGGGCTTTTTAATATAACTAATGATTTGGAAGTAATTAACAGAGAAAAGCAAATAGAACTTGCAAGGAAATTGGTTTATCTATTTGATCGAAGGAAAATCCCATAATGTGGTGATGACTTGATATATTCCAACTGGACTTATATGAAGCCAGATAGATACATATGCATCCACCATGCATGTGTGTGATAATGTGATAACTGATAACTTCATAAGAGATGTTCTAGATGCAAATTCATATTGAACGGAGCCCATATGCAGACTATGTACATTCACATTCCCATCATACACATGGCTTGATAGAGCCCCAGTTAAAAAAGAGTGTTGCCATTAATATACATGTACATATATTCAAATGCACATGAAAATGTGTAGATATGTATAAATGCGTATATGTCTATTGAGTATATCAAGATACAGGGAGGAAACCAACACAATCAGGCTCAATCGATACAAGTAACAAAAAGTGTATCAATAGATGTCAGAAACAATGTAATGATAATGGTCCCAATAGCCCCTT